CAGTTGTGGATGAGAGCGCCTGGTAGGTAGGCGGGCCCGCCATACATACTCACTCACCGCACGCCTGCGGCGGTACCCAGTGACCCTCGGGACGAGTTGTGGCTGAGGGCCAAGTTGTGGATGAGAGCGCCTGGAGGGTAGGCAATTCTTTCAAAAGCTGTTTGGGGCCCCCTGGGCCCCATTGCGTTTGTTTTTACGCATCCGGGGCCTTTCGGCTCGTTACGGACTATGTGCAGAGCATGTTATTACCTTCTGGTTACACCCTGAAGGCTTTGGATTTCATATTACCCGAAAAAGTGTGTTCTATAGTCGGGTCGGATTAAGCTGACTCTGGCCGCCGGGTTTGTGGCCACAATTTTGTGGCCACAAGTAGGGACGTCAAACAGCGGGCGTGGACACCACCGCCAGCGCGTCTGAACGGGACGTAACCCGGAGCCACGCTCCCTCAACGAAGGAACCCTCGGACGGGTGCAAGAAATGCATTCCAAAGCCAGAGCACCACAATCACTTAAGACTACTGCTTTGGCACACCGCGCGCCGCGCTACCTGTATTCTCTGATACGTGTCACTCATCATGGCAATGAGCAAGTTGATGAGGACGACAACAGCCAGGAGCAAGTAGACACCAGTAACGAATTTGAAGAGAGTGGCGGTCCATTCTGGCTGGTTACGGGAATTAACATGCAAGTTTTTGGGGGTGGTTTGGCCAAACACGCCGTAGAAGAGGAGCTCGAAGGCCGCGAAAGGGTTCATCTTGACTGGAAGAACAAACACGGAACATGATTGGAGTTGGGTGGAGAAGGAAGCCTCCCGAGACGAGGTCAGAGGTCGGCGTGCTGAGCAGGGGCTCATTTCCGACGGGCGGGGGAAAATAATTATTAATTTAGCGCGGTATTGTTTGCTGGCGCCGCCGAGGGAACAGCCATGGGCTTTGGAAACACGAGTCGTAGTCGTGGATATGGAAGAGCTTTGCACGCCGCGTCAGGTCCGCCTGCCGAGCACGACCGCCTAGACCGGGCCTTGGGGTGGCCGTTGTACCTGGATCCTCTGGTAGGTGTCGCTCATCATAGCAATGAGCAGGTTGATGAGCACCACCACCGAGAGCAACATGTAGATTCCAAAGAATATCTTGAAGATGATGAGGACCCAAGGCGGCTGCTTCTTGTTGATCTGGAGCTCTTCGGTCGTCGTCTGACCGAACACGGCAAAGAACAGCAGCTCGAACGCCACCAGGGGGCTAATGTTAACTGCGTACAGATCCACGTATGTTACACTGCTCAGGCGCTGGCGTTAAGTAATTAAGCCAAAAAGTAGTTTTCCACTGTCTCGCTTTGTATCACTTAAGCAAAGTGCGAAGATCAAGTAATGCACAACTGGGTCAAATATCCCCCAAAATTTGATATAAAAGTTAAGACCGGTTAAGACTCGGTTAAGACCCAAACTCCCCATTCCCGGACAATCAAAAGTAATTTTTTTTCTGTGGCCTACGACAGCTCACAGGCCGTTCACACCTTACCTTCGTCAAAAATCTTTATCGTCTTTAACGACTTGTAGTATGTGTTGAGTCCGTTCTGGTTGTTGATAATTCGGATGGGCTGGTTGAGGGCAACGATCTGCATGGAGAAACCGAAGACGAAGATGGCGAGCACGGCAAGGAACCGGGACAGATCCTGGATCAGGTCGCCGATGATGATGGCCCAGGGTCCGAAGAGATGGTGAAACGACAAAAAGTCGAGGATCTGAACGCAGGCCAGCAGGAAGGACAGCGCGAACATCTGGTTGCGAATGTACATGAGTGTGGGCCAGTAGAGAGGGTCGACGGCCACCATGCCCAGCACGTGCAGCCCCACGCCGGCCATGCCAAAGAGCAGCACGGCGAACTTGATCCAGCCGAGGCCACTCTTGTCGCTGGGGTTCTCCAGCTCCAGGAGCAGCAGTCCCGACAGCCACACGAGCAGCGCCCACTCGTACCTGGACATGGGCAGACACAAGTGTTAGCGCCGCTACCCCGCGCCAGGCGACAGCCACGGCGACAGCGGCCCCGGTGCGCGGGGTAGCGCAGAGAGACGCGCGGAGTACGCACCAGTAGGGCATCATGCTGCGCCGCAGGGTGGGGTAGATGGGCGTGATGCCGACCAGCATCAGCAGCATCAGCAGGTACACGTGCGAGGTGAGGTACGACATGAACTTGATGATGGGCACCTTGTTGTACTTGTGGCCGAGCGGGAGCGTGAACACTATCCACACGGGCGGGCACAGGATGAAGGAGAGGAAGAGCAGAAGCTGTCTCCAGGTGGCCCACTTTAATGATCCCTGCCAGAGTTCCTGTGGGGGGCATGAGAAGCAGCAGGTCACACGAAACTCGTCAAAACGAGTGTCCTTGGGATAGACTTTTTTGTAAGGGGGGGGGGGCATTAGTGGACTTGGCGGACTTGGTACAGCAACTTGCCTGTAGGTACCTCTGCACCACGGTGTGTGCGATCACTTCCTTCTGCTCGTTCTCGATGAGCACGTCGAGGAACTCGGTGCCCCGTCGGTCCGTGGCCGTGAGGATCCTCCCCGCGGAGTCGGCCCCGGCAGCCAGCGCCAGCAGCTCCGTGGCCATGGCCTCGCACAGCTTGCCCGCCGCGATCAGGTCCTTGGCGCGCTCCTTCTCCTGCGGGCCAGAGGGAGGGTGTCAGGCCGGGGACAGGTCGACATCCAGGGACGACAACGACCTGGGCACGGCAAGATTACCTTGGTCGAGAGGTTGATGAAGATGGCTGACAGCTTTGCGGCGGTGTCCACGGGCGCCGGGGAAACGAGTACAAACTCTTCGATTGGTCTGTTGTTGTGGTTCTTTCCGCACACCATCAGGTTGTAGACGAACTAGAAGAGGAACAGCGTCAACGAGCGAGCACATCGCGGGATAAAGAACAAATAAAACAGACCCTTCGCTCTCTCGCGCGCTGCTCACCCTGCGGTCCTCCATGAGGCTGTAGGTGTCGTGGTCTTTGGTCATGAGGTACTCCAGCACGTCGTTGTGGCCCTCGGAAGCGGCGAACCAAATGGGCGACGAGCCGAGGTTGGTCTCGGCCTTCGGGTGCGCGCCGGACTCCACCAGGAGGCGCACAACCTCGTAGCAGCCGGCCCTCGAGGCGCAGTGCAGCGGCGTCCACCCGTTCTGCAACCGGAGCGGAGAGCGCAGTGTAGCGTCCAAGCGCCTGGCTCAGAGTAGGGTAGGCAGACCCGCCATACACGCGTGCTCGGCGGGCCTGCTGCTCCCAGGCGCCCGGCGCTCTCCGGCAGCCCACCGCACTCACCTTGTCTGTGGCGTTGATCTCGGCGCCCTGTCCCAGCAGCACCTCCACCATCTGGTAGTGGCCGTGTGTGGCGGCGATGTGCAGCCCCGTCTTGCCGTGCCGGTCGGCGCTCTGCAGCAGGTCTGCCGCCCTAGACAGCAGCAGCCCCACCACCGTGATGTGGCCGCCGAAGCAAGCCAGATGGAGCGGGTTGTAGCCCTGCGGGGAGAGGCGATAGTTGGGGTTGGTGAGCGGCGCTCTGGTCGGGCCATAGCGGCTACTGCAGCGGGTTGCTCACGTTCTCGTTGGTGACGGCCTCGACGTGCACGCCGGCCGAGTTGAGCAGCAGCCGCACGACGTTCTCGTTGCCAGAGTAAGCCGCCAGGTGGAGGGGCGTCATCCCGGACTCGGAGCCCAGCTCGCCGACCAGTGACGCCCCGTTGGGGGAGTCCGACTTGACCGTGGCCGGGACGTGCGTGAGCAGCTCCCGGACCGTGTCTACAAGGCAGCGGAGGAATGTTAGGGGGGTGCGGTGCGGTGCCCGTGAGTACGGCTAGGAGTAGGCCGAGTGGAGACCAACCTGCCTGTCCGAAGTACGCAGCGACGTGCAGCGCGGTGACGCCCAGCTTCTTGCTGGATATCCTGAGCGACTGCGTAGACCGCATTACGTCCAGGACGTGGCCGTGGCCGTTCTGCGCCGCCAGATGGACGGCGGTGAAGCCCGCCTTGTTCTCGTCGGTGCAGGAGGCGCCCGCGCGCACCAGCACCTTGACGACGTCGGCGTGCCCGCCCTCCGCGGCCAGCTGCAGCGGCGTGGCCTCCGTCACGCGGTTCCGTGCCGAGATGACGCCGGCGCGGTCGAACTTCATGAGCTCCTCGATGACCCGCACCGAGCCCTGGATGGCGGCGATGTGCGCGCACGTGTTGCCGTCCTTGGTGCTGGCCATGACGAGGCTCGGGTGCTGCTGCAGGAACAGCTGCGCCACCTCGGGATAGTTGTTCTGCGCGGCGACGTGCACCGGCTTTTGGCCCTGGTCGTCGGTGGCGTCGATGGACGCGCCCAGCTCGAGCAGCAGCTTGCACACGGCGAGCTGGCCCTCGGCCGCCGCCAAGTGCAGCGGCGTCTGCTTCTTCAAAGTCAACACGTCGATCATGGCGTTGTGGTCTTGGATGAGGAAGCGACACAGGTGCGTGAAGCCCTTCATGGCGGCGAGGTGCAGGGCGGTCCGACCAACGCGTGACTTGCTGTTGATGAAGGCTTTGTTGGTGAGAAGCGCGTCACACACGTTGAGGTAGCCCTGGTTGGCGGCGAGGTGGAGTGCTGTGCGGCCCTCCGTGTCGAACACGTCCACCCGGGCGTGGTTGTTGAGCAGCGTGTTGACCTGGAGCATCACCACCGTCAGCAGCCGCAGACCACACGCCGTCACCACGCCAACCGCACCACGGTCGCACCACTCACCAGCTCCATGTGCCCCTTGTGGCAGGCGATGAGCAGCGAGGTCCAGCCCACGACGGTCTGCCCGTTGAGCGCCCGCTGCACCTCGGACGGCGTCATGTGCGAGATCATCTCGGCCAGCACGTCGTTGTTGCCGGCCAGCGCGCAGTAGTGGAACGCCGTCTCGAGTGTCTGCGGAGAGTCGAATGGGGTTGAAGAAATTGTACCAGGAAAGGCATTTTGTTCAACTTGTTTAAAAATCATTGTTTCAGTTCAAGTTGTCGAGTAGCGAGAGGCGAGGGTGACGAGGACTGACCTGGTTAGTCTGCAGGTACACGTCGGCCCCGGCCTCGAGGAGCAGCTTGATGACCTGCTTGTCCTCGAGCGGGTGCTCCACCTCGCCCTTGGTGATCTGCGCGGCGAAGTGCAGCGCCGACGCGCCGTCCTCGTTGACGGCGTTCACGTAGCGCACTGCGGCCTCGTCGCCCTGCCGCTCCTTCACGAAGCCGATGAGGTTCCGCACCACATCCGCGCGACACCCCCGGCACGCCAGGTGGAGGGGCGTCTCCCCGCTCTTGGCCTTGAGGAGGGGGTCACCGCCGTCCTCCAGGAGCAGCAGCAGCGTCTGCAGGTTGCCGTGCTGCGCAGCCACGTGGACGGGCGTCCGGCCGTCATCCGTGGACAGGTTGGGCCCCGCGCCGGACTTGAGCAGCATCAGGGCGCAGCGGTCGCCGTCCGGCACCCGCGCCGCGATGTGCAGCGGCGTCTCCCTCAGCTTGCCGCCCCTGACGTGCACCTCCGCGCCGTAGCCGAGCAGCGTCTCCACCACGGCCGGCTTGGCGGACTCCACGGCGATGTGCAGAGCGGTGTAGTTGTCCTGTGCATGAGTGTGGGTCAGGGAGAGTACCACTAGAGCGCACGGCCGCCTTACGCGCATCACTCTACTTACGTTCGTCGTCACGTCCACCTTCTCGCCCTTCTGCAGCAGGGTGTTGATGATGCCCACGTGGCCGTAGCGCGCCGCCGTGTGGAGGCTGCGCGCGCCGCCCTTGTTGGGCATGTGCAGGTACACGCCCTTCTTGAAGAGCATCATGGCGCACTCGGCGTGCCCGTTGAGCGAGGCGATGTGCATGAGCGTGGACCCGTCCTTGGTGCGCTCGAAGATGGACGCCCGGAACTTGTCGGCGAGCAGCTCGATGATGTTGGCGTGTCCGTTCTCCGCGGCGAGGTGCATGGGCGTTCGGTCTGCAAAGGGGGAGGTGTCAGTGTCCCAGTGGTCGTCCGGTGTTCATTTCACATTCCACCCCATGCACCACACTCCCCGCCCTCTCACCTTCCGCGTCCGCGATTGAGGCGCTTGCCCGCACGCCGTAGAAGTACTTGACCAGCGTCTCATCCCCTTCGGCCGAAGCGATGTGTAACGCCGTCTGGCCCTCGCCCTGGATACAGAGAGGTAGGAAAAGACCGATGATCCATTGGTTAATTTGAAAGGCTATTTTAAAATTAGATTATTGTGACAAAACATGCGCCATAGTTCTAGCAAAAATGGCCCGTGGCTTATGGCTCATGGCTCATGACTCCTGTTCATTGTGGGGGCACCTTACTAATGGCTGTCTGCTCGGCTGGACATAGACCTACATCGGTAAGTAGGAAATGAAGGGGTGGAGGAAGGGTAGGGAAAGGGGGTAAGTAGGAGGTGCAACACAACAACAACAAACAACAAACAAACGTCTTCAAACTACACGAGCGAGGGGGGGGGGGTGTTGCGTGCGAGCCGCAGCGTGACTCTCTAGAAATGGGGCAGCCCCTCGGGGCCCTGCGGGGAGGGCCCCTCACCCCGCAGGGCATCGCAGGGCTCGCAGCCCGCCACCCCTTTCGTTTCTTTCTCAGATTCCCCGCTCCCCCCTTTACCTCTCTCACACCACCTCTCCCACCCCACCCCCCACTGCTGGGATTTTGGCCGTGCACTTCAAAGGAAAACAAAAGATGGGCGCGTCTCCATAAATACTGCTGCTTCCTCCATAGACGATATCGACTTCGAGCGTGTGCAAGTCTGAGTCCGACATCCATGTCCTATTTCTTATGCCTTTCAGCCCTGCATGTTTTTACCGGTTCTAATTTTAGAATTCCTCTCTTCCTTCAACATACCAGCCGGGTGCCGGATGAAGTGAAACAATCATTGTTGGTAAACCAACCCTCTTATTTCATTGCCCCTCCTGCCAGGTTATTCTGTCCTGCATTTCGCCGACGCCGACGTCTTGGTGTTGACGGCTCGATGCTGTCCGCACTTTGACCCCGACCGAGGCCGAGGGCCTCCCCCTGGACCGTGCACGCCATGCTTGCATGCGCCTCGGCCCCGCGGCCCTGCACGTGTGTGCACAGATCACTCAGCCGTCGCCCGGGACGGGGTGGCATGTGGTGCTAACGCCACGCCGTACTCACGTTGGGCAGGTCGACGTTGGTCCCGTAGTCCACCAGGATGCGCACCATGTCGAGGTCCCGCTTGCGCGCGGCCAGGTGCAGCGCCGTGTCGCCGTGGTCGGTGGTGGCGCGCAGCTGCTCGGCGGACGACTGCCCCAGCAGCTCGCGCACCATGGACTGGTTGCCCGCCTCCACGGCCAGAAGAAGCGGGATCTTCCCTTTCTGTGGAAAAAGCGGCGGGAAAATATGAGAAAAATCTGGTCTCGTCTATAAGAAGGCTAGGGTGATAGCACACAGACAAAACAATTGGAAGTTTCATAAAAAGAGACAAAAAACGACTACGGTTTTTGTACGGTTTTGACCGAGTAGCCGATCTGAAGGCCATAGTTTTTACAAGAGCTTTAGTTGCGAAAAATCTCACATACTGACAGTATGCGTAGCGGAGCCCAAATCTTTCCACGAACTTTAAAAAATACCACACTAAGTAAACATTTTTGAGGATCATAGGAAAAGGTGTTCTAGCGGTAGTGCTACGCCCGCTCCCCCCACCCCACCTCTCACCCCCCAACCCCCTTATCCGTTGCGCTCCCTTTTGCCGCGCGCCCCAGTCCTATTATCTGGGTTACGCAGTAACAGCTTTTTTCTCCCATGGCGACTGCTCCCACAGGTGCGCCGTGGTGGCGCCCTCCCTTGGGGCGGTGCACCCTGGGTGGGCCACCACCGGGGTGCGTTTCGGATGATCCCGCCTCCCCCCGCCTCCCCCGCCCCGCCCCGCACACCCCGCGTGCCTCCGCCCCGCCGTCATGCAGCGCCCAGCCCGGGCGCGGCCGCACCGCCGTGCGGACCCGATCGATGGTACGTCTCGTTGTCGTAGTGCACCGCCGTGTCGCGGACCTGTCTGGGACGCCGCGCCTCGCGCCGCGCAGGAGCAGGAGGAGAGGGTTGTACAGTCGCTCACTGTCGTTGCGCGTCAAGCCCTGCGAATTTGGCTCAACGCCCACCTCCTCCTTTTGCAGAGAGTTGAGTGCCGTCTTGAGCACGAGGCCCCAGCCCGTCGCGCCGCCCGCTGCGCCCTTCTTGCTCACGCCGGCCTGGAGCTTGTTCTTCACCACGAAGCTGGAGAACAGGTTGGAGTTCTTGAGCAGCGACGCGCCCAGGTCCAGCGGGGGCGCGGCCGTGGAGTTGTTGAGGGTGGCGGCGCTCTCCGCGGCGGGCTTCCCCTCGGGCTTGCCCCTGCGCGCGCTCAGGCGCTGCTCGCGACCGGCCGCGGCCGCGGCCCGCAGCCTTCGCGCCGAGGAGGGCGGCCCGCCGGCGCCGTCGCTGGCCGAAGACATTCCGGGCGGCCCTCAGGAGGGGATCGTCGCCGCGGAGGAGGTTCGCGAGGACGGACACGGCGGCATGGAGCTTGTCGCGGCGGAGGACGGCGGCCGACTGGCTGTGCCGCAGTCCTCCCTCCCTTGCTCCTTGCGCACGGGCGCAAGTCGCGAAGACTTGGCTAAACGACTAAACGTCTCCACGTTAAACAGTCATCGCCAGGCTTATCAGCGCCCGCCCCCGCGCCGCCTCCACCGCCCCCGGCCCGGGCCCACCCCTGTCATGCCCCACTCGGTTCGTCCGCAATGGCTGGTTTAAACGCGACGGCCGCGAGCTGGCGAGCGCGGGCCTGCTCATCCCCGCGAGGAGCGGGCGGAGCGGGCAGGGGGAGCGCCTCCGGCCGCCTCCCGGCTCCCGGCTGTCGGCGGGCTCCTCGGTGGGGCGCAACCTGAGCCCGGCGGCCGCTCGGAGACCCTCGCCGCGTGGGTGCTCGCCGAGCACTACCGGGGCAGCTCCACCAGGAGGCCGGGGTCGGGGCCGGGCCCCCGTGTGGGGTGGAGGCCGGCAGACAACCCCGGGTGACAGGCCTACAGATTGGAAGAGGGGGCCGGGGGCCGAGCGGCGAGGGGGATCGAACCCACCCCATTGTCTTGAGCCCTCCCCGCCCCGCCCGCGCCGAACCAAGGCAAGGCGGACAATCGCTGCCTCTTCTTGTCCCCCTCCCGAAGCGGTATTGAATATTCGGCCGCCGAGCTAAAATAGCCCGATCGGCCGATGGGGCTGCAGCAGCCTCACTATGATCGACCCCGCGGGGCGGCCCCGGGCCCGGTCCGTGGAGGGTGGAGGGCGCCCGCCGAGGCGCCCGCGGCCCGCGGCGTTTGTCCACGGATGTGACGGCTGCGAGGTACGGGGCCGGAGCGCCCCCGCCTCGCCCCCACTCCTCCCCTGCTCATAAGTTACGCCGCGCCTGTCGATCCCAAGGCCCCCGCAGGCGATCGCGGAGGCCTCCCACCCACCCCGCCCGCACGGCTGCAGCCCGCGAGGGAGCCGAGGTCCCGGCGGCCCCCTGGAGCGGTGGAGAAAACGTCGTAGAAGTGGCCGTCCACTGGCGATGGCAGGCCACGCCGTGGTGAAAAAGAGGTCCGAGAAACACATCGTTTGGTTGTCCTCGCGAGGCCATCGTCCAATTCGTCCAATTACCGGAGACTTGAACGAGCGAGTTCCTCCAACAGGGTGCGTGCGGGAGGGACCGACTCGCGCACCGTTTGCGAAAATGTTGCGATGGGAGAGATGGGGGGTCCTCAAGCCCTTCACCTCCCTCTGCCCCCCCCCCCTTTCCATTCCCCTCCTCCAAACTGATGTTACTCACCCCGTCGGGCCGCAGGCGGATGTCCTTCCCCGCGGCGTTGAGCAGCACACGCAGGATGCTGGTCGCGGTGCCCGTCTGCCTGCTGGCCACCAGGTGCACCGCCGTCTGGCTCCTCGGCTGCGACAACAAGATTAGTGTTTGCAGATAGAGCGGGGGTATGGTCGAAAATTTCAGCCCGACCCCATCGAAAAACAGCCTCATCGGGCAGGCTAAAATTTCAGACCGTACCCGCCACCCGCCCTATCGAAAATCGAAAAAACACGACAAGAAGTGCGTCAGCCAAAAAGCGAAAAATTTGCCTTTTTCTTCCGATTGCATGGGTCACGTGAGTGGCCTGCTCGGCCTCATCTGAAGGCACTCTTTTTCGCGCTCTGGCGTCGTGGACCGGGTCGGTAATGAGGGCCAACAGGCGGGGCTGCTCGAGTCCAACAGGTCCGACCCGCGCGGGGACGTGAGTGATGGATGACGGCCAAGTGGCCCCTCACGAGGGCTCGATACCGCGTCGGATCCACGGCAAAGGCCATTCGGGAGCAAAGGGGCGCTGATCAGGGGCGCTTGGCGCGTGAGGCACGACCCCTTTTGTGGGGCCCGCCCGCCCTCAACAGCGCGACGTTAATCAGTCATCGCGGCCCGACAGCGTGTCGAGCCTGCTGTGCGAGGTCCACAGCGGGCGTCCCGCGCGCGCAGGTCAACAGAGACAATGACGCCCTTGTTCCTTGTTCTCGGACAAAAGGGTTTTTACTTTCCGGGCGTCGACGGCAATGTCAGGCGTCGGTCGCCGGCGCACGCGGCCCCAAAAGCCATCATCGCGTGCCTCGCGCCCTTTGGCGCCTCACGGGGCTGCAGTCACGGCGATACTCCGCGCGACAAAGCGGCCCCTCGGCCAGCCCTACGGGCCAGCCCTGGCCAGCCCTCGCACCTGCTCGCGTGCACGCGATGCCACACTTGCACCTCACCGGCGCCGATACCCCGCCGCCGCCGTGTCGTAGGTACTCACCCCGCCAGGTGCGTAGACGTCCACGCCTTTCTTCGGCAGCAGCAGCTTGACCACCTCCTCCCGCGAGTACATGGCGGCCACGTGCAGCGCATTGTAGTTGTCCTGCAAAAAGAGAGCGCGCCGCGCATCAGAACAAGCAGACACAAACACCACGCCCCACGGCTACACGCCCCTCGCAGGCCCCGGAGGGAGGGGATGGGGGGCAACCTATTTTCGACGGTACGCTCTTGCACTCACAGCGAGATTTGTCGGAGGTGCGGTGATTTGGCCCTGCAACAACGGAGCTCTTCGCAAATTGGTAATCTCCGAGGCGAGTGTCCGGGCCATGAGCCGCCCATAAAACAGCCTTATTCTTAGACCCCTTCCCCTACCCCCTCCCCTTCCTCTCCACCTCCCCTTTGTTCCCTTACTGTTGCCGGCCGCGCGTGTTCCGTGACTCGCAAAATGTGCTTCTCGTTATGGCGGAAATGACGCAAAGGAAAGGGCCCTTTTTAATCTCAGATATTGGCCCGCTCCTGCAACACAACCCCGAGGCCGGGATTAATGCAATACGGCTCGTGACGGCGGCCGCCCGCCGGACGCCAAGGTCTCGCCGCCGGGCCCGGGCCACGGGGCTCGCCTAGGCGACTCAGACGGATCCCTGCAAGGGGTGTCCAAGCACAGGACACCCTATCGAGGCTGGGCCTGGATCCTTTCCAGGGAAAGGGTGGCAAAACTCGCTTTAAGTCGCACTGAAACCTGGGCCGTACAACTTTGAGCGCACAGTTTCTGGACACCCCAGATTTACCGAGGGGGCCACCACTCGCGTAATCCTGTGTACAGATGAGGGTGTAATCCCTATGTAATCCTTATGTATTGTCCTATATTCTTGTGTAATACTTGACCAAATTTTATACCGTTATCGCCAAATTTCACCTTACAGTCTAAATTTAATGGTTTTAGAGCCAGAAATTCAACAAAATTCATGAGTAATCCCTCAAAATTCAAGTGTAGTCCCTGTAATTACGTAATCTTGTGTACATCCTAAATCGAAGTTGTTGCCCCCTCGAGATTTACAGTGTAGAGGAGCCTGTCAGCGGGCTTCACCTACAAGCGGCTTATCTAGCCGCGGACTTTGCCTATATCCTAAAGGAGCCTGTATGCAGGCGGCTCTCCAAGGTCAACCAATGTAGCTGCGGGCTCACCAATAGACCTAGGGCCTATAGGAGCCTGTTCGTACGGGGGGCTCTTTTGGAGCCTAGGAGTCTGCCCGCGGACGGCTCACCTAGTCGGCTCATCTAGCCCCGGGCTCGTCTAGATCCTAGAAGAGCCTGCCCGCGGACGGCTCACCTAGTTGGTTCATCTAGCCGCGGGCTCGCCTAGATGGGCTCACCACGCCGGAGTATAGCACGAGTTATGCCCCCCCGGCACGCCACCGACCTGTTTGTGTGTGAGGGTGCGCGGGGCGACGCGGGGCAGGGGGAAGGGAGGTGGGGGAGGAATTCCGGGTGGAAGGAGGTGTATAACACGCGGTGAAGTCCGGCTATTATTCGTGAGTTGGATCCTCTATGGTGTGAGAGGAGGAGGAGGAGGGGACGGGGAGCATGGCGTGGGGAGTTGCGGCGACTATTTCGAACGAAAACGCGATGGCTGCAAACACTGTTCGCCAGTATGCGGCCGTGGCCATTCTCTCGCTGTGCTTCGCTTTTCTGCCCGTTATTATCGCTGAAATAAGCGAACCGTTCAGGTTAACCCACTTCCCTGAGGTGTGTAATTACCGCTGACCCGTGTGGGCTGGTCAGCGCATAGGTCTGCGGGGCGGCACAAGGGCGCCGTAAAGGCGCACGCTCGGCGCACGCGGGGCGGGGCGGGGCGGGTCAGTGGGTGCTAAAGCGCAGAGGTGACGATCACGGGGCAA